CCACCCACACCCACACTTACACTCGTCGGATGTGGTTGTAGGTGTCGATGACTGGCTTTTGTATTCACTCACATAAACACCCATACAGACACCCGCAGCTCTGTAGCTATAAATTTTACGTAAGTTCATCGTTAACAATACAAGAGTTTTTGGTGGCACAAATTCCTTTTGCTCGCAAAACTTTAAAGAAGGATTTCTCACAAGGGAGGTTATTCCTATCCATTAGTTACGTCTAGGATTAAAACTCTTCTCTTTTTCGCGAATGTCAAAAATGAAGTGTATTTGGTGTTCATATAAAAGAGACAAACTTTTGAAAAACTGTGATTTCAGTGTTTTCATCTAGATGGCCATGAGTAGTTCACATTCTGTTGATTCTTTTACCAACGGCAATGATGATAATCTTGAAATATTCAGTCTTATTTGGCTTGACACAAACGTTCACACTGAAGAAAACCAAGATATGCAACAAAGACTGCGTTCAATCATCAATCATCTCAAGAAATTTCAAGATGGAGAGGAGTGCAAGCAATACATACAGCAAAGACAAAAAGATGATCGAGTAGTGCTCATAGTTGACGGTCAGTTGGGTCGAGGAGTGGTACCTTCCATTCATAAACTGCGACAAGTCTCAGCAATATATGTTAGTTCCAAAGACAAGGAGAACGATGAAAAGTGGGCGCAGGAGTTTGCCAAGGTAAGACTGTTCTGAGAAGTTTCAGTCACGTTGTACTGCCGATTTAGGTGAAGGTCGTTGTTGATGAACCCAAAGAGTTGATTTCTCAAATTACAGCAGATCATAAGAAACAGATGAAGATGGAAGAACCATTGTCGATGAACATGTTTAGTATCAGCAGCGATGCAGAAAAGAGTATAAAAGGAATCAATAATCAATTCGTTTTTTCCGAATTATTTATCGATTGTATTCTTCGATTGAAACCTAATGAGATGGACAGAATGGAACTCCTTTCTTGTTTCGAGAAAGCATACGATGGCAACCATGTCGAACTCGCTAAACTGCATAAATTTCGAGAGGACTATACATCTGACAGCGCTGTGTGGTGGTACACTCGTGATTCGTTCTTCTACAAGACTCTAAATGCCGCTCTACGCGGGCAAAATATTCATATGATTTTCTTGTATCATTCATTCATTGTCGACATATATCATCAATTGCAGCATTATCAATCTCAAGACCCTGTTCGAGTTTATCGAAGTCAGTTGATGTCAATCGATGAGCTAGATTATCTCGAAAACAGCATTGGCCAACTCATTTCTATAAGTTCATTTTTTTCCACCAGTAAGCAGTATAAAATTGCTGATTTCTATATCGGCGATAGGGCTCAAAAGACTGATTTAGAACGAGTTCTGTTCGAAATCGATGCTGATCCAAGAGTGGTCTCGACGAAACCTTTCGCTGACATCACCGATCTTAGCGATTTTCCTGAAGAAACCGAGGTACTTTTTATGGCTGGTTCGATTTTCTACCTCAAATCTATTGATCGTGATGACAATCAAGTGTGGATAATAAAAATGTCCTTGTGTGGTGATGATGAACATAATTTGATGCAAGTTCTTGCAGATATGAAGAAGCAAATCGACACCGGAGAGAAGAGTCTTCGGACATTGGGCAAATTGCTGTGGAGAATGGGCAAATTTGAACTGGCTGAACAGTACTATAATCGTGTGCTACAAGAACTTTCACCGGACGATCCTTCACTTCTCAGTTTGTATGACGAACTCGATCTGATCACATTGGTGCAAGGTAAACACCTGGAGAGTATGCAATGGCATGAAAAAGCACTTATGATCAGAGCGCAGATTGCTGGACCTGATAGGATCAAGAAAGGTGAGACAATTAGAGCTAGTTGTAGATTTTATGAATGATGATCAATCACTATTCAGCGACATATCAATAAAAAAGCAATATTTTTTGTAGGGTGTGGGTGATAGTCTTCTATTCTAGCGCATCAACCCATGCCCACCTATCCTCTCCTCGCATACCTGTCATGACATTCAAAGGTCACACAATTTTTAGCTAAACCAGTTACATTCTCGGTTAGCCATCCCGTTTTGAAAAAATCTTAGCTTTATTTGATGGGATCTAAAAATAAACTAAGTAACAGATTGTATATTTGGAAAGCCACTTGCTTGTGTGTCTGTGGAGCTATCTAGAAAATTCTGATAGTTGTGATTCTTATTTTTAAGGACATTTCAATCTCATATGTAAAAAGAAAGATATGCACAACTCGGCATGTGTGTGGATGTCCACGTGGGTGTATTCCTCTTTTGTATCGATATCCGCATCGTCGACTAGCCGTAGATTCTTTTCCGCTAGACATTAGGTAGAAGACAGTTCGCGGATGCACTAACGATGGAAAACTCCAGGTCGTAAAAGTTGTGTTTTCAGCTGGAGAGAAAATAGGATTACCTTTAAAGAATGTGTGCGTGTGATTACTCCTCATTCACACACACCCAAAGCTACACCCACAATCCACATTCACACCCACACCCCCAATCTCTCTAACTTCGTCTGATAATAAGAGATTTTTTTCCTTCATTTTCTGAAGGATATTGATGTAGATGTGGTTGTTTGGCCATCGAACAACTATTTTACACATAAGAGTTGTTCGATGATGATTTTTTATTCTAAAAGCTATCTTGTTCTCGCAGACTGACGATACCTGACCATCAACATTAACCGATGGCCAACTTTTTTAAAAGACATATAAAACAGAACAAGCATCCTTACGTATACTTACGTTTTGAATTGTGCAGTAGAAAAGGCTAGAATAGAAAATTTATGATTAGAAATCAATGTATCTAAATCGATGGAATACGCTGTCTCAGAAATGTCTCGATCAAGATCAACTACATTTACATATTGTATGTGAAAGTGTATTTAGTTTTTCTTGTTAGTTGGAATCAATCAACCTCTATTCTGTATATATTTTGAAGTTAAAATGCGATAATGAAAAGTTCTACTGCCCATTTCAAATTAAAAGGCATGTGGGTATTTTTTGAATAACTTTTGATAGAAACAAGATAGAGAGCTGCGATTTTCATCGTTGGAAAGAACAGATGAAAACGCATCGAACCATATAAGACAATGATTTTTAACTTGCATTTTTGAAACCTCTTGCAATAGTTGAACAAAAAATGCCTTAAAAACAGGCCTGATTTTTCCAGGAAAAACGAAAAAAACTCAAAAAAACTGAGTGATTTTTACAGAAAGCGCTGGCGAAATGGACTATAATTGTCGAATATAGTATCTAGAATTCGCAAACCAGTAAAGCTTTGAATCAAGCGTTATATATAGTTTTGTAGCTCTTGAACTGACGATCCTAGCGCACTCCTCAAAGTTTAAGATTTGTTCTACCTTCAAAGAGCAATAGTCTACTCTTTCAAGATGACAATGGATCACTACCTATTTTTGAGATAAACCTTAACAGTTTTATATGAGCGGTTGCCCTGAACCAGCCTCTTTACAACGGTGAAAACCACAGCTCTCTATCTTGTTCCTATCAAAAGTTATTCAAAAAATAACCACGTGCCTTTTATTTTGAAATGAGCAGTAGAAGCATATTATATTACATAATGGAGATGAAAATTGATTGATACCATTAAATTTAGTCAAGACCTCAATTATAGCTAGATTCTTCATGTTCACATTAAAAAGAATTAAATCATTTCAATTGATTGAAAAGAAAATCTCAAATCAGTTCATTCCGAAATATTACCTCTAACTCACTTCACTTGAAACTCTTGGAGGAGGGGACTTGTTAAAAAAAGGTTTTGTCAAATATAAAACCAAGATATACAATGGAAAATTTTGAGCTAATCAAGATAAGAAAGCACATTCACATTTTTTCTCAACAAGGTTACTGATTTTTTTCGCTATTTCTGATGCAAGAAAGATTTTCCATTCAGGAGTATCTTACATGATTGACAGGAAAATGAGCTTAATTTTTTCTTTTTTTTCGGAATTACAAAAAAAAAAGATTTTTCAATTCTTTTAACAACGAAGGCGTTTAGACTAGTGACTATAGATTAAAATCATGCTTTTCAAAGACCAAAATGAATCAAAATTTCCTTGAATTAAGGTTTAAACCTTCAAAAACTACTTGCGTTCATACAACTGGCACTAGTGCTGTGCGCGAAATTTCCTGCGGATTGATTAAAAATTTTGCTATCTCATATAGTTTCGTTCTAAAACTAAACCGTTGTTAGATATCAGCCATGACACGTGTTAAAAATATTTTTATGCCGAAGACTGCCATGCTTGTGACGATTGTCTAACAAAAATCAACTAGATTTTGTAGTCGCTAATTTACAAAATGTTATAGAAAAACGACACTTATTGATGTATTTTTAAAAAATAGTTTGCAAATTCTCAGTGTTTATTTTTGTTTTCGGCTTTGTTGACTACAACATTATTTTCTGTTATAATGTTGTTTTTGTTCGTTGTATTCCATCATATAATCCAGTTGGATCTTTTTCGCCGTTTTAGTTTCTTTTTTTCAAGAGCTAGATGCATGCATCGCTGTTATTTGGAGTCGATTATTCATGTGTTCTTTCTCGCAATTATTTCCTAGTAAAAATCTTTGATGTTTCCACCAGGGTTGCCAGATCGAAAAATTAAAAATCGGAAAATCCACTTGTCGAAATCGGAAAAATCGGAAAAAATATTTTTGAAATCGGAAAAAAATCGGAGAGTGTTTTTTTCATGCTTAAATACATAAAATTTGTTTTACATCAATAGATTTTACTTGACCTCTTTCATTTAGTTTTTCAAACATCATCTTGAAGCATATTTCATTCCAAAAAAGTAAAAAAATAACAATGTACTTTTGGGTGAGTAATTTCGAAAAACACTAGCATCAGTAACATATCTAAGTACTTTTTTTACAAAAACAATATGAGAATTAACTTGACCAAAAAAGTGAAAAACGAATGTAAATATATATATACACCTCATTAAAAAATATGTAAAAAAGCAAAGATCATTCAATATTACGACGTTTCTTTTGTTGATATTTTTCATTTGTTCGAATTTTGTTCAATATATCAGGTTGAGATAAAAGATATTTACACATATATGCACAAGGATAATCAGAATTCATTCGTATTTTCAGCTCAGCATCAACTAATTCGATATCCATACGATTCCGATAATCGGACCATGCATGTTTCATATGACTAAAAATTGTTTCTACATATGCATTTGTACAAGGAATCGAAAATATATAACATATAATTTTTTTCATATTTGGTGTTGAATTTGGATTGATATTCAGTAAATAAGACCAGAGGTGATCGGATCGTACATATTCATCTTTCTTCTGATTTTTGTGCACTAATTCAACTTCTTCATCATTATTATCATATAAACTATCTGAATTATCATTTACTGTTGATATTGGAACATAGTCTTTCTTGCTTGAGATATACGACTTGATTCGATCACTTAGTTTAACATCTGTTTTTGTTAAATTGTCGTATAAAACTCTGATTTCACAATATTCACTATACAAT